AGGATTACTGAAGAATACCATATGTTCCAGGGCTAATCTATTCTCTAGAGGAATAGAGGAAAATTAACTAAGGACAACACTCTTTAGTTTATTTCCTGCTAGTTGATCCTTTGTGGTTTCTGATATTTTTGTTTTTATACATGCTCAGTACATTATTTTATACACTTTTTCATATCGGAGCTGGTATTAGAAGCAGATCTTTATTCTCACTCATTGTTCTATGGGAGTTTCTTTTAAGATGCTTTCTGTGATTTGAGCATCCCTGTATTTTCTTCTCCAACAGGAAAGGTTTTCGAAGGGGCTATTTAAAAAGGAATGTCTACATTCTCTTTTTCTGTCCTCTGGGAAGATAAGCAGCTATTCCAAAGCAGGAAGAAGGGGCCAGGTTGTGTAAATCCAGAGGGTTTTTGAGAGGAAAGACTTCCAATGTTTAGACTCAGCCCTGCCACTACAAACGTATTTACAGAAAAAAAGCTGCAAACAATCTTGTTCTGTCATCATAGAATAAGAGTATCTTGTTTAAAAGAAGCAGAGAAAATACAGAGCAGTTTTGAAAGCAGTAGATGAAGGCTAAAGATGTTAAGATCTAAGACAAAAATATAAAAAGGAATAAATACTATGAATTTTTTTTTTTAAATGGTAAGGTTGCTGATGTAGGTGGCATGCCTGGAAAAATATAAAAATACAGATTTGGTTTTTTCATGGAGTGTTGTGTAACTTATTTAACATGTGTGAGAAGACCACCTTGGTGCCCCATGATTGGGAAAATGCCACTGTTGTTCTGATAAAAGAAAAATAGTGTAATGTCAAAAAGCCTCCTCCACCTCATAAGGGCCCTTTATTGGAATATTGTTGTTGTTGTTGCCTGCCCGGTCCGTCAGATTGTTGCTCCTGTCAAGGGGGGAACGGCATCTGTCCGCGAGGAAACCTGGTGCTGGGTTCCAGATGAAAGGAAGATGGTCGGAAGTAAGGTGTCTGCCGGGATTCCGATCTCTTGAAAAAGGAGGACAGAATCTTCTTTCTGTCCTTGGATTCCACTAGAAATGGCTCTAGGGTATCCCCAAAAAGATTATCGCCTGTGAACTGGGAGGAAGCAAGCTTCCATTTCCATTGCAAGTCTGCCTGCCAATTCCGGAGCCACAGAAGGCGTCTGGCAGCCAACAAAGAAGCCATTGTTTTAGAAGCAAATTTTGCAGAATTCAAGGTAGCATCTGCTGTGAATTCTTCTGCTGTGATGATTTTAGATTATCTTGATGGGAGCGGATATCACCAGCCGGCAGTCGGTCCTACAGCTGACACAGCCAACGCCGTAATGCCCTCGTGAAGAAGGCAGCTGTGGTGGAGTCTCAGACTGTCCAGGCCACAGCCTGATGAGTCCATTTAAGAGTCTGTTCCGACCACTTGTCATCAGCCTTTAGCACATCTTCAGTTTCTATCAGTGTTCCAGAAGCAATCACAGGGGCATCTACTGATGGAACTTGAATGGCCTTGGCTAAGCCTGGACCTACATTATAAAACCATCTATCATTAGATGTTGGACCGGACCCCAAACCAGGAGAGGTACAGTGATTGTGCACCAGGTCCAGGAACAGCTAGAGTGATGGAAGAACTTCAGTTTGAACTGTTGGCCGAGAAAACAAGGAATCACCTTGGGGCTGAGGGTCCCCAGAAGGTTCTGCTGTGGTTTCATCGGGACCCAGCTGAGCAGTATTTCTTGCCTTGTACAAAAGAGACTTGAACAAGGAGGGTTGGAAAAGACCTGTAAAAGTTGGTTGCTCAGGCTTCAAACCCTCATCTTCAGAAAAATTGGAGTGTCTCACCTCCCCTTCCTCCTACTCTGACATAGTGGCTTTGGTCAGATGGACCCATGGAGCACCCTTTCTTGTAGTCCACCCATTCATTACGAGAGGAAGGAAACCCCTGCTCTGGTGGCCTCCTGTACACAGCCCTCTCAGTTGGAACTATCTGAAGAAAAGGATGGAAAGGTCCAGGGGCTAACCCAGTGGGGCATAGGAATTGCTGAAATCCTTCAGCAATCCCCTGTCTAATGGACTGATACTACCTCTTTGATATCCTCGGGCCTACTAGTTACAGGAGATTCCACAGGACGTAGGCCAGCAGCCGTTGGTGTAAAAGTGGCCTCAGCCCCTTGTCTATGCCCGCCTTTGGGTGGATTCCCATAAGCACTGGGTGCTTCTGATGCTCAGACTGCCTGTCTGAAACTAGGTCTGCATAAGTCCTGAAGAAGAAGAGCCTCACCAGCCCCATCTGGAGACCATGCCTATGAATGATGAGTAGAGCCTAGTTCTGCCACTCCAGCCATGGATACAGATTTTGGGCAGGCCTGCAAATCACCAGACTGAGGAGATGATTGGCTCCTCCCCGCAATTTGCTCCAGGCTTCTTGCAAATTGTCTTTCCAAGGCCTCATGCCTCCTTTTTTCAGCCTTAAGTTCCAATTTGGAGGCCTTCTTGGTAGTGAAGGCCTTGGCCTTGATCTTGGCCGCCACCTCTCACTTAGCTGAATGGGGCCTTTCATGCCTTTTTCTTTTAGACGGCCTCCAAGAAGCATTAGAGGATTGGGCCTCAGAGCGGCCTGGTTGGTCTGACAGGGTGTGCATGCTTCTCATGTTGGTAACAGCCCATTGATTGAGATGCTGGCTCGGGAAGGTAATGGACCAAATCGTGCTCCGCCTCAGCTGAGAGGCACTCTCTTTGAAGTGTTCTTGCAACAGTGGTGGAAAGGTCTGCGGCCAGTGTGCGAAGCCTCGCACGAGCTGAAGCTCTAACACCAGGAAAAACTCACTTCGATCGCCTTTCATGTATTCGCAGCACTTTGGGCCAAAGCCCTGGCACTGTTTGAGAGCGGATCCCTGCTCTCTGGAACAGCACTGGCTCCACCGGATCCCCGGGGGCACCTGGAGGTAGAATTCTTTGACATTTGCTGTATCACTATTATCTTTGCCTAGAATCCTGTTTGTGCATGCTGAGACTAGTCCAGTCCTGATGAGGGACTGAGTTGAAAGCTGGGTGATATAGCAACAGAGGTGGGTCTTATCAGCTTGACAGACTCAATCCCTATGACAAAGAAGGAGGAGTTTTCTCTACCCTGGACTCTCGCAGCAGTGTGGAGGAGAATTTTGGTTTCTGCACCTACAACCCAATACAACTTGTGTTGTGGGGAAAAAACCCAATTAGAAATAAATAATAAATAAAGCAATTAGACAATATAAATCAGAGCTAAAATAATAGCTTAAGAATATGCATAATTAAAATACAAATTCATATGTTCTGTTTCTAAACATTATAGCACAGATTATTAACTCAACCATAATTTAGCTTTAAGGACACTGGAAATAGTAATTTGAACCAAATGTCTGAACGAGAAGAGCCAAAAATCTTTTTTCCACAGGATGAATAGTGTAACAATTTACAGCTGGAAGTAGTGCACACAGCCAAGTTAGCAATTTGTTCCTAGCCATTGGAATTCAGGGATCTGAATACAACTTGCAGATCCATACTTCAAATTAGTTACAGTTCTGTAAGATACATCAGTATCTTACTGTATACATCAGCATCTTACTGTAAGATTCTGTAAGATCAACCTCGTATGCAGAAAGACCTCTTGTGCAATCAATCAGCTATGTCCTTAATATGCAAAAAAAGAGGGTTGGGGGAAAGCACATTTTTGTACATAAAGCCAGCTGTAATCTAGCTTTTCCACTGTAGCCTCTTTGAAAGATGGTTGCATAAAACGTAAGAGAGGAACCAATTCATGTCCATTTGGGAAGAGGTGGGAGCAACCAAATCATATATTCGCCCCTAGGATGCTTCTGAAGCCTGGGAACAGCTATAGTTTTGGAATCTATAATGGATCAATCTAGCCATTTCAGCTGAAAGTTATTCAGTAGGACTGGTCAATAAGCATGCCAATTATTCAGATCATAGCACTTCCAGCAAAGTTGAAACAATCCACTTTAAACTCAATATGCTGCAAACACATCTTCCACATCTTCATAAAAGCCTTAATAGACTCTTAGTCATTGTTTTGAATCTAATTCAAAGGCCAGTTTTGATCTTTAAAACCTGTCCAAATGTCATGTTAACTCAAACATACATAGTGAACCTTGAATCTTGACATATTATCAGTAGCATCCAAGAGAGGGCAGGGAAATGAAAATACATGATAGCCTTATCAAGGGGAAAAAAGTCACCAGCAATTTTCATTTGCAAAACCTGCATAAAATAAAATGTTTTTGCAGACAGATATAATTTTCATACAATCTCTAATTAATATGAACGAGCAGGTATAGATGTCAGTTTTCAATAAGATTTATTGTTCCTAAAGTTAAAAAAAAGGTAAAGGATTCCCTGTTCAGTTGTGTCCAGCTCTAGGGAGCAGGGCTCATCTTGACCAAGGGAGCCAGTGTTGTCTGAAGACATTTTCCGGGTTCATGTGGCCAGCGTGGCTATATGCCAAAAGTGCATGGAACACTGCTACCTCCCCACCAAAGTGGTACCAATTAATCTACTCGCATTTTCATGCTTTCAAAGAAGTAGTTCTTGAAATGATACTGATTTCTCAGGAAGATGGAATTCTGCCTAGAGAGAGGTCTACTTCCTGAAATGAGGCACAGAGAATAGTCAAATCTCTGCCAGAGTAGGTCTTGCACTTGTTAATATTGACGGTTCTGAACCAAAGCTAGACTTTTCATGTCTTCCTTAGTTTAAATGTCTAACACTAGAAAGTCTCACGTTTTTCAAATGTTGAAGACATTCTTTTCTTGAGAAAGGGATGAAGGATTATATTTTAGAAAAGTAATCTTATATTTATTTAGCAAGATGTGAGGAGGATTTTTCCTTAGAGACATATAAGAGAATAATTAGAGAAAATTCCCTGACTTTGATGAATGTCTTAACACTGACTAAATTTCCATATTTGATAGCAACATATTATATAGTCCTTTTTCTTAGTTATACTACCTCTATAGTAAAGCTTACCTTTTTGGTTTTGCTTCTTAGACATAATAGCTTGTCTTATTTAATGTCTGATTACACAGTAAAGAATATGGTTCCTCAAGTATGAAAGTAGCAGATGTGATTCAAGTACTGCTTTGCATCCAGGCAGGAAATGGCAAATATCTGCTCAGAGACAGCAACCTCCCCAGCTCCCAAGGCAACTGGAGAATTGTCAAAATCCTGCTAGCTGAAGACTGTAGATTCTTTCTTTTAGCACTAATCTTCTGTCAGGAAGCACCCACACAGCAGTTCATGTTGCTGTTTTTCAGATTCTGAAAATGAAAATGTACAGAGGGAATTTAATTTACCACTTCTATTTATTTTAACAAAGAAAATCTAGGGTAGAGAATTATGCGGGATAAATAAATTATACTCAAGAGCATTCCCCCAAATGAAGTGATTTTTACCAAACTCAATGTTTCTTCACTAAAATGCAAAACAAAGAACAGGGGAAACTTATCGAGGCCAGTGCAACATCTGGCAGACTTTGCCCTCTGTTTAAACAACTAGTATTCCGAAACTGAAGTTAATGTATTTTACATTTACACAATAATAAACATTTTGAGAACACTGAGAAGGTTTGACTCATGAGCAGAATAATTGCAAAGAGTATAAAAGTGATATTTATGAGTGCATATAAAACACAAAATAATTTATGAAATGTTGTAGTTCCTAGGATACTGCAATTTTTTTTAAAAAGTTACACGTAGCCACGGGGGGGGGGGGGGTGTCAGAACAATGGTTGCTATTACCACCAGGATAAAAGAAAATAAACTAAATTAGAAATTGTTAGATGCTAGCCTTATTTTTATTTTCTTTGTCACCATAAATTTTCAGTATAAAAACTACGTGAACTTAAACTCACTTTTAAAATATATAAATTGAAGAACAGAAATATTCACATAATAGCATTTTACTATATTCCAAACTTTAAATACTCAGATTAATTTTCATTTTTTAGTTCTAAGCTTTTAGCATATTGTATTACACTGTAGATGATAGCAGTTTTGCTTAATTCTAATTCCAGTGATAGATTATTTCTGAAATTAACACTTAGAGGACAGAAAATCAAATTATATCCTCTATGGAAACAAGCAAACAAGAAGAAACAACAAGAATCAACTAACAGCTTGATCCTTTTTCCTCACCATCAAAACTTCCATAGCTCTTATGGTAACTTATAGCCATAAGAGCTGCTGATACAGAATTATCAATTTCTTGCAACCATGTATTTAAAAACACAGAACTATGCTAAAATTTTCAGTATGGGTAAAATGGTATAGGTAAAGCCTTTATTTAGATTTGAAGTCCTGGTGAATTTGAATACTTTGAATATTAAAACCAATATGTACAAATCCACCAGTAAATGTTGTTTTATCTCTAAATATGCTTAGGGAATTTTATATCAAAAATCTTTGCATATCTATAATACCCTGTCACTTAAAGAAAAGATAATTTACTTCATATTAAAAATTAAGAATAAATGTAAGGCTAGCATAGGTTCACGAAACTATTTCCTAAAAGTTTGCAAAGTTCTCAGAGCCAACAACATTGTAAATTCAACAGTCTGAAACCCCTACAGGTTACTCATTTAGTCTAGTGAATACTTACAATTCTAAAACTTCTGTTAGCTATACAATCCAACATCAGTCAGGAAACTAAAAATACCCATTTCAAAATGCTAAAGGTTCAGTTTTTGTTTAAGATATAACTTCCTGTTCTCTACTTGACAGCCAATGTTCCCAGAAGAAGGTAACTTCACTTCTTTTAGAAGAATTCAGAGTTTATTACACATTTTAAGCAGGCCTCAAGAACTGCAACCTTCAAGTTACATATTATCCCACAAGCGTTGCAACTTATGAAGACAGCTATACACTGTCCTGCTTTTTTTTTCCATTTAGAAAACAGATACACTGAATCTAAAGTACTTTTGACAATGTTAAAACACCTAGAAAAGGGGGTGAAATCACCCCATTAATGAAAAAACAGTCATATCTAGTTGCATACCATCAGTAATATCATCATATTACCACATCATGCACAAGACCCCCTCAGAGTCTAGGAAAAAGTAAACGAAGATCACAGCTGCACAAAGAATGCAAATAAGAAAACAATGTTAACAAATACTGCAATTAAAAATTATTTACTGGCTTTTAAGAAAAATGTTTTATTTCAATGTCTTTCTTTTGCTTCAACATACATTCAATTAAAAAATATGTGGGAGAAAGGAGTGATCTTGTTCAAGTTATGAGATTCACTCCCACAAATCCTCGGGTTACGGATAGAATGGGCAGGTCCCATTCCATTCGTAACTTGAGGACTACCTGTATCGCAGGCTAATTCTGCTGACTGCCAACTGCTAGCAGTTCGCGTCTCCCCAGCTCAAGGTTGACTCAGCCTTCCATTCTTCCAAGGTTGGTAAAATGAGGACCCAGATGGTTGGGGGCAATGTGCTGACTCTGTAACACCGCTTTGAAAGGGCTGTAAAGCACTGTGAAGCGGTATATAAATCTAAGTGCTCTTGCTATTGCTAAGTCAAGAAAATCAAGTGTATAGGAATGTAATAGAATCAAGTATATAGTTAGTACATTTTATATATCCATCAAATGTTTTAATAACTAAACAGTATATCAAACATATCAGAGATACCCCTATCTCTAGTGTACCACTGCACAAGTCTTCAGTATTTGTCTATACACCAAATGACAACTTTGGACTGTAGCCCAAGATGTTTCCAGCTTTTAACACAGAATTATACTTTAAAAAATAGTGGCTAGATCAGTTATTCTAGCTATTCAAAGAGCTGTTGTTATGGTTGTTTCCCCCAAAGACAAAATAATTGCTGTGAGAATAAGCATGTTGATCCTTGCTCATGAATAACTTTCCCCAAATCAGCTAGCAATTCTAGAAGCATTACATAAAAGCAAGGGCTGTTTTAGACAACTATTTTTCTAAAAGGCAATAATCTATTCAGCCAGAAGCCAAGCATACTAACAGAAAACTAAACACTGTTGTGGATTGCCTGACATCACAACACTTTTAAATGCTCAGAAGTGTAACAGACTGTTTCTTATAAACTGAGTTAGACCTGAGTACTTAGAAAAATCAAGTGGCTTTATAATATCTGTAGCCAGCCATCAGGTACATTAATATTTACACAACATTAATACTTTATGAAGTTCCACAAGCTAGAAAGGGACAGACTCTTGCCCAACCGGAGATAGTAAAAGATCAAGAACACAGCAAACTGTGAAAAAACAAAACAAAAATACACTAATACTTTTAAAATGTGCCTTTGAGTCAATATTTTACTTCTGGTGAACAATACTGGACATTGATTTTGACTTATTTGCCATCAAATCGTTTTTGACTCCTAGTGATCACATTGATTTTCTCCTGACAATCTATCCCTAACTTCCAATCTCCCAATGGTGCACCCACAACCATTGTAACTTAGACATATATATAAGAAAACAAGAATTATGATGTATGTGGTAGAACATTCTGTGCCCTTACCAGCCACCTGCAGATACACCATGGACAGCCCACAACCCGTTAGATGTCAAGGTCCTCTTCAAACACGATGGACGAACATCAAAATACATCCAACAAGTATACACTAATCAGACTAGGTCCGTGATGGTGAACCTATGCCACGTGTGCCGGAAGTGGCATGCAGAGCCATCTCTCCGGGCACGTGAGCCATCACCCATTGCTCTTCCGGGTTCCAGCGCACCAGCCAGCTGTCTTCAGACACGCAGGAATCCCAGAAACCAGAAGAGCAGCCGCTTGGTGTGCATGCGTGCGCTGGGAGCGCACATGTGCACCAGCCAATTGATCTTCGTGCATGCATGCACGCCAGAACCAGGAAGACCAGGTCGCCAATGCACATGTGCATGTTGGAAATCAGAAGAGCAGCTGCCTAGTGCACACATGTGTACCGGTTGGCTGTTCTTCTGGTTTCTGGCACTTGCAGGCACGCTCCCATTTTGGCACTTGGTACCAAAAAGGTTCACCAACACTAGACTAGGTCATTGGGGATTTTACGGCCCCCAGGTCACATCCAGACCTTTAGCTATTCCTGTCTGGCCCAAGTGGATTGCTTTTATTTTGAAGGTGATTGGTATTTTTTTTTTCAATTTATGCATGTGTATGCATGCATGTCTATGGACTTTCATAATTCTATTGGTTCAGCCCTCCACAACAGTCCCTGTTTTTCATGTCACCCCTTGGTAAAATTAATTAACTGCCCATCCCTGCACATTCATTTGAATTTATATCTGAATTTCTGCCTATCAAAGAGCAGAAAAAGATAATTGCTTTGTATAGTGTCCCATGAAAAGCTTTAAATAGAACTTCACCTTACATCCATTGTTGGTTTTTTAACTTATTTGACAAAAAAAATCCACCATCTTATAATATTCAAGGGAGTATATATCTGGATGAAATTATAAGAACACGAAAAGCACTTGTTTGTTATAAAATTTGGTCAAAAATGACTGATTTCATAAAAATATTAAGCATCCATTTATCTACCCTATCGAAGAATCCCATGTTGATGAAACATTTCTAAACATGTGTTCATCATGTACATAATGGCCGCCAGAAGAGCAAGCAGTGCTTTTGGTGGATTAACTTACATTTTTTAAAACTCATTTTTTTCCTTCTCTCTCCTTGAAAGAGATTCAGAGTGACTGCACGCTTTACAGTCCACCAAATGAGCTTAAGAATAAACAGACAGCACACAATTATTTGAATGCTGCACCTCAGTTTCAAAGCCACTCAAAAAGCAGAAGTACTTCTGAAACTCTGTGCAATTATAGGCAGCAAGCCTCCCTCCTTGTCAGTGCTGCATCAATCTGTTAAACCCATCTGTGATTAGGACCATCTTCTCTTGAAGCGCAATCCTATTCAAAAGTCAGACACACTGAATTCAATGCTACTTATTCCCAGAGAATTCCACAGGATTTTAGCTTAATAAAATGAATTCCAAAAATCAAAAACACATGTTTATTCTCAGACCGTAATATCTGGTACTATAGTTTATAAAATATAAATAGTATATGTTATAAGTACAATATGTAGATGTGATGATTATGAAATAAACTGCACAAAATTTGGAAAAGGAGTTTCTTCAATTGTAAAAGAGCGAAAAGTCTTAATATAAATCTATAACCAAATAAACTTCATGACAAAAATGAAGACAATAGAATTAGAACAGCTTCAGATCTGCTTATCCCAAAATGTGATAAACAGTATATGAAGATTTGTACATGGTTACAGAGTTGTGCAAGTCCCTCAAGGAGATGTTCTAGAACAGGTGGGAACATGAAATGAAATCACTGTGTATGGATATGCAGAGAAAATTACAGCCAGCTTCCAAAGCAACCACATAAGCCTGGAAAAAGATGCATCCACCTTAACAAATCAGAAATATGTTTTTAAATTTTATTTTTATTTATTGTATTCTTTTGTATCCCACCTGCATTATTTTTACAGATAACTCTAAGGCAGTGAACATATCCAACACAGTTTCCTCCTCCTATTTTCCTCACAACAATAACCCTACGAAATGAGTTGGGCTGAGAGAGAGTAACTGGCCCAAGGACATCCAGCTGGCTTTCACAGCTAAGGCAGGACTAGAACATACTGTCTCTGGCTTTCTAGCTTGGTGCCTCAACCACTGGACCGAATTGGCTTGAAAGAAGTCCCCTTTCCCAAAGAGGTCCACAGCTCTAGAAAGATCTACAGTATAGAAACATTGCATATAAATTCAAAATTTTGGAGCAAATAATTCAGCAATGTAGAGAATATTTTAAAAGTTTTGAATGAAGTTTTGAAATTAAGTACAGTACTGATAACATATGGTCCTGAGTTGTCAAAGAATGTTCTGAGCATAAAAGTCCTGTTGCTACGGTATTAGTTGCAATGTATAGTTCTTCTCTGTCTGCTGCCTATCTACTTTAGTCACTACAGAAGATTAAGAAATTATTTTTACCATTAACAATCAAGGAGATTGACTTCCTATGCCAAATAAACAGCCCAATAGAAGTGTTAAGGAATAAATTATGATTTTTAAGCTTTATTTTATTTACCCATTGAACATTATTTGGCATACATTAAGTGGAAACTGATGTTAATGATGTTTATTAATATTCTACACTGCAGATGCAACAAATCTATAATTGAAGTAAATAAATTTGATTTGAAAGCATTTCTAAACTGCACAGATTAGGACATCATATAAAAGTTACTCTAATCTAGCACTTTAAATAAGGAGTAAAGTACAACCAACTATTTAACATAAAATGGAACAAATAGCTGTCATTTTATCACAAACATAAGACATCTAGCCACAGTCCAATTTTAATACCTAAAAAGAAGAAAGAAAAAAGATTTAAAAGTAACCAGTTTCCTTCCTATCCTTAAATAATTATGAATCATGTACACCTTATCTGTCTAACTATGCTTTCTATATTTACATATCATTATTCTATAATGTATCTGATAATCTCAGAAACCTGCCACTATGGATAAATGCATCCAAAGTTTTTGGTGGCCAATCTATTTTGAACCAATACAGCAAATATCCCTTTGTCAGATCTAGTCTGTTTTTCTGCTTCATTCTGTGGTACTGAACAACAATAAAAAAGTTTATCCTTTTCAAAGCCTGAACAACATCTATGTTAGAACAGCAACATCTGGCTAATTGGCTTTTGAGTACTGTAGTCCCTTACCAAGCTATTTTAGTCTTGTTGATCACAAACATGAGCTCTGCATGTTCACAGTGTGCAATTTTCAATACTTTCAAAGATCATAAGGTAGAAGTGTCACAACCAATACGGTAGCAAAAGCCCTAAGGACCAAAACTATTTATCCCAACTTACATGCATCTTTGTAATCTGGCAAATAAATAAATGTATTTTTCTTGGAATAGGTTCACATTTCACATTAAAGCCACAAACCAGAGTTTAGTACTGTGTGAATGGAGCTGTATAATTAAACAGGAAAACTCAGCCTCCAATCTTAGGACATTCTTTTCCTCTATATCAGCTTAACTAATATACAATTCAGTCTAAAGCCATGCTCCCAACAAGCTTCTCTGCCCTACAGGTGGTTTTTCCAAAAGGTAACTGGACTTTTTTGGTGAAAAGGAAGTCCAGTTGCCTTTTGGAAAAAGCACCTTTGGGACAACCATGACCTGGATGATGGGAAATACAAGCTTCTCGGTTTTACTTTTCCATTGCAAACAGGGCACATCAGGGCTTTGTCACTTTATCTTTCCAGAATACCAATAACTATAATTCACTTCAGCAGTAACGTATTTTACCTTTTCACTCCTTAGCTATTTCTCTTTGAAAACATCTTTTTTAATGCCAAAATGCAGCAGTCCAGATGCAAATACTACATAGCAGCAGGCAAGAGTTTAAAGTACTGCTAGCATAGAGCAAACAACTTGCTTTTTCTAAAACCCTGCGAGTTATCATCATCCCCATTGTTACCTTGCCTTCCTCCTCTTTCCATCCTCTCTCCCGGGGCTGGACGTGGGGGGAGTGGGGGGAATGACAATGGAATTAAAGGTTATGGGCATGTGGGAACAACACTCTCATTCGGTCTGGAAAACAAATCCCGAGGAGTGTCCCTCCTGGGCAAGTTCAGGACTTTCTTGCGTCCTTCTTTAAGGCGTTGACCAGGCTGCTTTTGATGAACCTTTCTCCAGCTTGCCCTGCAGCCTGTTTTTGTAAACGGTTCTTTGTGAACTTGTGAAAGGAGTGTCCTCATCCGTAAAGGACCCGAGTCTTGCCCCCCACCCCCCGCCCCCAAAGGCAAGGCGTCTTCTACTTTTCCGAGCGGGGTCTTTCCTTTTTATTTTTCGTGGGATACGGATATCGTTCCTCTCCCGTGGAGGGGAAGCCTCCCAGCGCTCCGGGCTGAGCTTCAGCGCTGGCTGCCACATATGAAAAACCCCTCCTTCCACCGCCACATCGCCTCTGCGCTCTCCGGCCCACTCCAGTCCGCCGCCCCTCGATGGCCTGCCTTTGAGCCCACCCCTTATTCCCACAACATGGGGCCATTCCCTCGGTTGCCTGCCTGAGCCTCCTTTCCTTGTTCCCCATCGCTCCTTCCAGCCTTTTTTTTTTCCTCCGAGGCTCCTTTCCCACATGCTTTTGTGATTTCCCCCCCACCCTCCCCATGACACCCAACCTCCCCGCTCTTCGCCTTGTTCCCACACGCGCCACAGTTTTACCCACTTCGGCGGAAAACCTCACCAAACCATCAAAGCCGCCACACTTCCCCTCCTTACCTCAGGCCGCCGCCAACGCCGCCAAGCGCCGGGGAAAGTAGAGCCCCGCCCACCCGTAAGGGAGAAGAGAGCGAAATCGACGAAGGCTGCGCGAGCCCCGCAACCAACCGGACACAGGCGCCTTCTTTCCTTCAGCCAATGAGAAAGGTGTTTTTTCTTCGGCGGAGCGCCGGCCAATAGGAGCAACGGAGATCCGAATTCGCTCCCACCTTTTCCCTCCTTTCTCTTCTCCCTCCCTCACCCTCCCCCGAGATCCAAAAATCGAGTTCGGCTCGAGGACAACGGAACCGCTCTAGCCACCGAAGCACTTCGCCCGTTGTCCAATCGGCTTCGGCGTTAAGAGAGGCCGAATCAACGACCGCGAAAGAGGTTGTTGCGAACGGATGGTTAACCTACGCTAGACCAATTGGCAAAGCCGTGGAAGGAGACCCAATCCAGGCGTGCGGGGAATGCGCGAGGAGCTCTGGCTGACCCAATAACGTCTCTTGCCTTTCTTTCTTTCCTTTACTTGCTGCGCATCCTGAAACGGGGTGTGGAGGTGGCGCGTTCTCTCCCCGCAACGGCCGAAGGAGGATCCTTGGACGGCCGCCGCTCAGATTCCCTCATTTGAGTGGCTCCAGAGCTTTGCTGGAGGCGGAGGACGCCTCCTCTCAATCCCTTGCGCGCTGCTCACACTTTCTAAGCTTCGTGTGTCCCGTCTGTACGTAGGAACCTTGTGTTCTTCATTGTGCGCCTGCCCTGTTTTACGTGAGAGATTCAGAACATCTGTCCCTGCAGGTGTTGACATGGGTGACATGACCTACTGAACTTATGTACAGCAATAGCAATTGCATTTAGACTTATTAGACTTACATACCGCTTCACGGTGCTTTACAGTCATCTCTAAGCAGTTTACAAAGTCATCATATTGCCTCCAACAATCTGGGTCCTCATTTTACCGACCTCAGAAAGATGGAAGGCTGAGTCAACTTTGAGCAGGTGAGACTCAAACTGCCAAACTGCTGGCAGCTGGCAGTCAGCAGAAGTAGCCTGCATTCTAACCACTGTGCCAATGCAGGCTTGCCTTATAGCTTCTGGACCCAATTTTCTGATTTCATCCAGCACTTCAATTCATCAGGATTGCCCTCTATGCTAGCCACATGGTATAGGCCAGTGTTTTGTCTGAACGTAGGCTCTTTTATACTAATAAAATTAACAAATGGCAACTTCAAATCTCAACAAATAAATGCTCTGTCCTACATATTGGCAAAAAAATATATCAGAAAATAAAATACACGCTGAATAGTCAAGACCTTGTTCATGATCCAAACTCTGTCAAGGATCTTGGAGTACTCATCTCTAATGATCTAAGTGCTAGAGCCCACTGTAACTACATAGCCAAAAAGGCGTTAAAAGTTGTTAACCTCATCTTACGTAGCTTTTTCTCTGGTAATATTACACTACTAACTAGAGCATACAAAACATTTGCTAGACCAATACTCGAATACAGCTCATCAGTCTGGAACCCACATTACGTATCTGATATTAACACAGTTGAGAAAGTCCAGAAATATTTCACAAGAAGAGTTCTCCATTCCTCTACTTGTTGCAGAATACCTTATGCCACCAGACTCAAAATTCTAGACCTAGAAAACCTACAATTACGCTGCCTTCAGTCTGATCTAAGTATAGTATATAAAATCATACATTGCAATGTCCTACCTGTCAATGAATACTTCAGCTTCAATCATAACAACATTAGAGCAAACAATAGATACAAACTCGAGGTTAATCGCACCAAACTTGATTGCAGGAAATACGACGTCAGCAACAGAGTGGTCAATGTCTGGAATACTCTACCTGACTCTGTGGTTTTTTTCCCCAAATCCCAAAAACTTTAACCTTACACTGTCTACTATTGACCTCATCCCTTACCTAAGAGGTCTAGGGGGGCGTGCATAAGTGCACCAACGTGCCTACCGTCCCTGTCCTATTGTTTCTTTTATATATTTTTTATTTTTCTTATATGTATCCATGTATTCATAACTATGGTTTTACTTATACCTATTATCTTGTAAGCAATTGACAAATATAAATAAATAAATAATGCTTTTTAAGAAAAGAAACCTGCAAGTTTTCTGAGGTCACACAGGCCATGGTTGGCTGAATGTACGCAATTGCTCAAAAACATAAATGTTTACACTTAAGCAAAACCAAACAGGCCACATTAGTGTAGGGTAAAATCAATCTCAGGTTTGTCTCATGATTAGACAATTGTGCATTCCCAAGTCTCCTTCTGGGCATGATTCTATTCCAGTTCTCACTGGATTTGTCTGATTTAAGTTCTCCCCAAATCCTGTATCTTTTAGGCAAAGCAGCACTTCCCTTCAGGCCTCATTATGACTTCTGGATATGGATGGAGATGCATTGTCTTCCCAGCCATAATATTTAGGGCATCCTGCTACTTCTAAAACGTAGATAATAAAACTTTTTCTAAAACTACATCCAGACTGAAAATCTGAATGACCCTTAAATGAAAATGGTATAAAAATGCTAATTCATTTCTGACATCTTGTCTTTTGCCCTTTGTTTCTGTTTAATATGGCCTTGCAGCCATCCAGAATCATTTCACCGTGAGATGGGTGGCAAACAAATGTACTAAAAAAGAATTTAATTTTTCTTTCCCTGATTTCTTTAAAAATCAAGTCTCATTCATTTTCTGTTAATAGTTCAATAGTGTCACCTGCTGGGCTTCGATGAACATGTAAGCATTTCAAACCAATAATTCATACTGTGTTTCCAGTAAAAGATAATAAAGTATAATAAATAAAAAAATATAGGTATATGTTTGCCAACTACAGCCATCCAAGCACTCAAGAAAAATTAGTAACACAAACTGCAGTGTAAAGGGAAAGTCCTCTTTCAAATGCTATGTCATAATAAAACTAATGACAAAGTTTGCTGTTTACTCATATTGAGCATAATTAAATGTTATTGTGGGGAAAAAGAAACCCTTATAATAAGATTTAATGTTCTTGTTCTATCAAAAATAATATTGGGACAATTAAAACTTTTACAAGAGATATGGAAAGGAGTATTAATTTAGTAATTTAGAGAGAATGTAACAAGTTTAAGGAAACATGATGTAATAATGGATGGATGCATAGCATGAGGTTGTATACTAACCGTAAACTGCTACCTTGAGCTAACTCCTTTCTTGATTTTTATAATTTAAGAAATGCATGTCTACAGTGTAAGGTGGCTTAAAGCAGTGTCATAATAACCAATGGCTATAATTGAAATTAATCAGAAATATAAACCAACAATAAAATACAAAGAAAATTAGAACATTTTTACTTATTTATTAAATCTCTATCCTGCCCATCTCCCCTACAAGATAACTCTGCAATTCTTGTTTTATTTTCCCTGATGTTAGAAAGATGAAGTACATCTCATTATTATATGATGGCACGTTCCCTTTTTATTGGCAACTTGTAAAGAGACTGGCAGTATCTCATAGAAAACAGGCCTAGTGAAAATGCAGTCCAATAAGAAGTCCCACTCCCCAATTTGTCCAAAATATCCTGGAACTAAAACAAACATTTAATAAAGGATCATAAAACAGTTGTTTGTAATCTTCACCTACTAACAAATTTAAAGTACATAGAAAGATAACATGTATAATTTGGTCCATGTTATTTTGAGAGCCATTGCTTTAATAAAAATGGTTTAATCCCTAGCTGTTTGATGGTAATAAGATTTCTGTGCTGTCTAAAATGCAATCATGCAAATTTTGGCTTCTTTGCCTGCATGAGGAATTCGTAGGCAGCTTGTACTTCAATAAAACGTCTTTCAGCTTCTGCTACTTGATGTCGATTATGATCAGGATGCCAAATTTTGACCAGCTCCCGGTAGCTTTTGGTGATTTCTTCTGGAGTGGCATCATTAGGGATACCTAAGATCTAGAAGAAGAGGAGAGATGAGTATCAGTTGTGAGTTCACTAATATTCTAATTATCAAATTGTTAATTAGTTGGATGAGTGACTTTGGATCAGTCACTGTCTCAGCCCAACCCACCTGACAAGGTTGTTGTGGGAAAAGGAGAAAAAGGATGAAGGAGCATGTTGTCCTAAGTTGCTTATAAAGTAATAAAGTCAGGATAATATCTAAGAAAGAAATAAACTAGTCGTTTGTCAGTGATGGAGTGGAGGTGGAGAAAACAAAGAATAATTGTCTTGCACTTGCTGTTACAACTTACTGGAAAATCTATAAAATCCAATGAAGGATGATTTTTGTAGTTTGAACTAATAGTAGAGCACATAATTTTGCAGAGCTTTGGAAAGCTAAGCGTAAAGGTACTTTCTTACAATTCCGCAAAATACAGTTGTCTTTTCTTTCTATACCCAAAGACATCAAGCCTGAAGAGCCTTGTTATTATCTCTGGTCATACATTTTGGGTTAAACTGTCAGCCAGCAAGATGATAATAATATACAATTTCCAGCCTTTAAAGATGGCATTTTCTGCTGTAAAATTTCAAATAATCTCAGAAAACTCCACTAAAATCAATATTGTTTTCTTGTGTTAAGTCTAAGACTGCAGAATTGTAACCAAGGGCTATACTAAGAATTCTGGGAACTTTAATTTTAAGACATTAGGGAAATATGCTGTAAAGGGAAGAAATAGTCAATAATGGAGCAAATATGTGTGATAGATAACTTATCACATTGTTAATTTCTTTGCCCTTTGAACTGTTTTCCTTATAACCAAAGAATTCTGGTTTGAGATAATCTTAATTCTTTTCACAAGTAGCATTTAAAATTAGTAAATGAATGTAAGTGTAAAATTATTGGTTAGGGTCTTCTGATGTGTCTATTTAGTTGCTTGTCTACTTTTAAATACTGTTAAAATAGAAGGTTTTATTATCAAATTGAACAAGATTTTTTCACATACTGTTTCTTTTTATGTAATTATATTTAACATGACTTACATTTTGTTGTTATTTTATCTTGTACACTGTAGAGTACTGTTATATGAGCTTCCTTTAATGCCATTTTACTATTAATACAAAATGCAGTTGTTTAATACATGGAAGGCAAATTGTTTGATATGCAAGGCTTGAAGGGAATATTTTAGTTTGCCTGAGCACAAAAGCCAGTTTGATGTACTGGTTAAGGCATCAGCTAGAAACTGGGAGGCTGTGAGTTTTAGTCTTGCCTTAGATACAAAGCTAGTTCGGTGATCTTGAGCCAGTCCTTTTCGCTCAGCCCTAGGAAGAAAGCAATGGCAAACCACTTCTGAAAGATCTTGTCTAGAAAACTGCAGGGACCAGCCACGTAGTCGCCAGGAATCAAACTTGACTTGAAGGCACACACACAGATAGACAAAAATATGACAATCTGAATCAAGGACAACTGTGGGAAGGGCAAAACACTCAAGAGGGTGGTCACAAATGTGCAAGCTTTTAAACACTGTGATGCATATACAAAGGGGACAGGACTTCTATTGTGTGGTAATGACCATTAGCTTGACTTTTTAAAAATCCTTCCTGCAGATGATCCTGTGCTAGTCCAGA